GAGAACTTTAAAGTCTGGCTTTTTTGACAGCAATATAATTCATCAGAGATTCCTGAAGAAGTCACGTACTTATATTTGCCAGTGTTTATGCAAAAGTATTTCCTTCTGTGCTAATGTTTCTCCAAATGTTTTACAGAAAAAGCAAAAAGGAGGCAGTGGGACTTCAGAATTTAGTAAGGTGGCTGAGGACCCAGAACTGGTAACAGAACACGGAGTTTTGTTTGAGTGCTCTCCTGATAACTGGACTGATCAGAAGAAACCACCACCAACAATGAATTACTGGGTTGTGGGGTGAGTTTAAAGATGAATGAATCTATTTCTCCCAATGTTTTCTATTTTGAGTATGCCGCTGTACTCTTTAACAATAAATTTAACTGTAGCACATCACAGAAATACTTGAGCTGAGTGACTTGAGGGAGTTTTGGGATCTGGGAGGCTGCATTGGTGTGATGTTCCACCCGCTGTAAAACCCAGGCGTGTTAACTCAGGTGAGCACCGTGCCACAGAGCTGGCACCCCTTGCAGTGCTGCCTCAAGTGCTGTAACCATACTCACAGTACCCTTTCTGGCACTTTCTTTGTGCTCCTCACACTCGTTCTGCCCTCTCCATCCCCCTTGTCTTGCCTCTGCTCATAGTGCTGGTTCAGTGCTACAAGGAAGTAAGGTGAAGGACTGTAGCTGAGGGCTGGTTGGGTTGGTTTTTTTTCATATTGGGAAGATCAAATCAACCTACAACTCTATTTGAGATATTTTTTAAAGGGGAGTTTTCTTTCCTTGGTTTGCTTTCAAGGTTCTGCCATTATCATAGCAAATAGATTGTGATTTGTGTTATTATTTAAACTTAATTTTAGTAATTTCCTTAAGGATGCCTATAGTTGTTGCTACGTAGCTAGGTCTTATTTGCATGACAGAACAGCATACTGCCCCAGGCGTTAAATATTAAGAATAATACATTTTGTGAAGTCATTAAAATTAGGGGTTAGGAGAAAATAGTATGTGTCATTTCTTCACAATTCAGAACATATCAAATCTTGTAATTTTTTAAGCCAGTAAGCCCCATTCTGTAACCACTGCTTCTCACATGCTATTCTTTCTCTATCCACTATATTTCGTGCTCTCTGCATTTCAGCTGCAATAAGCAGACAGTCATATTAGGAGCAGTCAGTCGACAGGATGTTTCCTTCTTTTCTACATTCATCTTCTGTATTTGGTATTCCTACTAGATAAATAGTAGGTTAAATGCAAACTATGCTTTCACCATAAGAAAAATAAATTCAGTATAGGCAGGAGGCGAAACAAAGATAAATGACTGTGCTTGATTAATTCATTAAGTTATAGTTATCGACTAGTTCAACTATTGCGCAGATAGGAAAGCCAGAAAACAGCAAAATACATTTCTGAATATGGCATAAGAACCTTTTTTGTGATACAATGAGAGGAAGCGTCGTCCACAGGTAATTCTATTGCCCAGGAATACGAATGTAAAAATTCTCTAATAGAGCTTTTGTTCAACCTGTTTGCCTTCCAAGTCAGATGTTTAAAGAGAAAAAAAGAAAAACAGTTGTTTCCCACCATGAATGTTTCCCACACAAACAGCAGTTTAAACGTTTAGTTTAAACGTTTTAAAATGTTTACGCTGCTGTTGGTATCTTTTAAAAAACATTTTTTCAGTCTCTGCCTTCTCAAAAAACACATTGAATCAGGGTAGTATTTGCATTAGTATTTGCAGAACTGTATGCTATGCTATAATGCTGCACACAGTTATGCCAGGTTTTAACAGCTTTCCTATTTCAGCTCTTTCCCTAAAAGAGCTTATTAGATTGAGCTGTGGGAATGTACCTACCCAGATGTATTAAGTTTAAAAAGTAGTAATTATGTCAATACTGGGGCTTGCTCCCAAGTACCTCGATTGCAGCTTGTAGCCTGGAAACTTGGATGACTGCAAAACACACCAGTACCATGCAAATAGAGCCTGAAAACCTGAAGGATTTTTTCCATATACAGTCTTGAGAAAACTGAGCAGAGAATAACTTGATTTAAAAATCTATGGTATTGAAAGAAGTAAAATAATACAGGGGAGCCACAGAAATTTGCTAGCTTACACCACAGTTTTTAGTATTTTACTGAAACCTCAGAGTACAACCAGAACATATCAAACAGTTGATTAACACCTATGATAATTTTCTTTTTTTTTTTTTTTTCTTTCTTTTTGTTCCAGGAGACTCATACTACATCCAAAACCTCAGGAGTGTTATGTCTGTTTCCATGACTCAGTCACAGAAGCTGCTGTTGAACTGGCCTTTAAGCTGTCCTTCGGCTTAACTACATAGATGGGCTTCCTGGACATTCAGCCACCCTGCGGGGTGGTGTCATCTCTTTAAAGTACTTCAATAGAAAGAGAAATGAACTCAGTTATGGTGCTCACCCATGGCCTATCTTTGAAATACTTTCTAAAAAATAAATCTACCTTGTTGTAATGACCCAGGTAAAACTTCAGTGATTATTCTCTAATGACCTCATCATTTGAATACTTAAGATTTCAGAGAAACAAAGTTCCTATTTTTATGTACTGTCAAATTATACTTTATGATATGAAAACATCACATAATTTGTACATTTACTGTTTAGTGTATAATATGCAATGTAAAATGATAAGCTGATATCCTTAATGTACTCTCTGAATATCTGGCAATTGGTGATGGAGGGGGGGAAAGTTAAGTCTTCCAATTAATTAAAATTTTGTACTTCTAAGGGCAGGAAAAATAGTGCATGTTTTCAGTAATATTCTATTAATCAGAACAGAAAAAAATCTTTTAGCCAGTTCATGGCACTTAGTTACACAAAACTAATGGTTTATCATTTTTGCAAGTATGGTCCCTGCACACTTGAGCACTGTAGTATGGTTGATATTTTACTTGACTTAATGAGTTTTAACTATAAATAATACTTATATTTGTTAAAATGCAATTTTGAAGGCACAGAAGAAGACTGGGGGGAAAGAGGGGTGATGGTTTTAAGACCTATGCATGGACCCAGCTAATTTTATATTACATTCATAATTTCATAATAAAAAATGTATATTTGTCAAAGACCAGTAAAGTGTTATTCTGTTTATTTACTTAACATATTTTCTCTTTTGTTTATTTAAAAAAAAAATTGTTTAGCTAAGTCTTCTACAATTTACAGATGGATATTACACAAAAATGTTGTTACATCCATATAAGGCAAGAGAAGGCAAGATGTTTGCAAGACAGAATTCTTCTACAAAATTCAACTTTCCTACAAACTGTTAAAATGTTTGTAATCTATAAACCAGCTGCTCCTGCAGCTTTTTTTACTAAAGTTTAGTTTAAAATGTAAGATTCCTGGGGCTCTTTTTACCCACAGCCAGCATGTTTAGGTCTGGTCATCTGCACAGCATTTCATCATGTTCCACGTCAACGGTGTGTTTTTTAATTTCTCCTGTTTCTATTTGCTTTTCATGAGTGCTTTTCATAACATGCATGACTAAAGTTGCACTTTAAACAATGGGATCAAAAAGTTTAAGTATTCAGGAAAGTAAATTCGGTTCCATAGGTTGCCATGATCAAAACTTTAGATCTTGTTTTCACTAGTAAATTACATTGTTTAGAGTAGTTCTAAAATAGTCAATCAAATGCCTGTAACTGCTCACTTTCACAGAGTGATTCACAACTTGTCTTGAATCACTCAATGCTTTAATTGAGTTGCTTTAATTCCAAGCAGTAGAAGTTTTAGGCCTGAAGTTTAAGCACATGATGGAAGATTTTGTTAATCAGCCTTCTCCAGAATTTATGGTTCCTAGAAGATGGGAAATAGTGTTTCGGTTTGAGACACGCAAAAACTGAGTTATATTGATAGTGCTTTAGATTTGTTCCCCATCTGTAAATGAAGTGGTGTGAGATTTACTCTGAAAAATAAAAGTATGTAACAGTGTGGATGACATCTGAACGTCACCTTTTAGAAGTCTAAAATATGTGGGGTTTCAATATGAGATTTCTTTGTAATGGATAAGCTGTTAGATTGGCTTACTCCTTCACAAGAAACTGTATCTTAAACAGAATTACAGGTATGCGAGGACGGTACATCTTTTATGCTCCAAGCAGTGTAGTTCTGCAACAAAACGTTCCAAAATCTGCATTAATAGTGTTGATATGACACTTAAGGGGATTTTTATTGTCAACTGAGCAGAGACTGTATTTCGCAGATTTTTAAGAGTATGTTTATAAAGAGCCTCAAAGGATGATAGGATTTCATTTCCTACAGAAGGCAGATTTTTATTAGGTATCTTTGATACAAGTCTTGTAGCTTTGTAACTTTCAGGAAGACTGTAGCTGTGAATGAGCATATAGAATTGATGTTAAAAGGAATAGATACAGAAAAGCTAGCAAAGAGTTAAAACACTTTGACTGAACAAATACAGTGTTTCATGCCCTCATTAATCATAAGGTCAGGAGATGTAAGGGATGGAAAGAAATTAAAAAAAAAAAGCTATCAGAAATCTAGAAGGAATTTGTATTTCTGCCCTGCAACAGAATGGGTATAAATGATATGACTAAAATTCATTTAGTTGCCATATGTAATGTTTATTAACTCATAACTCCATATGACCAACAGGTAGCCCTTGTTACCCGGGCTTTTTTTCTAGCTCCTGCTCAGGAGAGAGGGACGGGTTCCCCCAGCTGACCAGCTCCTGGAAGGTTCTGGAGGTATCTGGAAGGCATCAAGAAAATGGCGCCATTTCTGGGCCCAGCTGCCCCTCACAGCCAGTAACGGTCGGGGACAGAGGTGGCTCAGCTCCTGGGTACCCCCAGACCATTGACTTCTGAGGAAAAAAGTAGCCAGTTTGGTGCCCTCCAGGTGTGTGTTTTTCAGGAGAGGGAGGAGGTGGCCGGAGTGGTGCTGTGTGCCACGTCAGCCCTGCTGGGCAAGGGGCTTCTGTGCCCCCCTGTCTCCTTTGGGGAGGGCCTGCTGGCTGGCGGCATGGTGGCCACCATCTTCAAGAGGGCGGTGGAGCCCCTCGAGAGGGTGAAGCTGTTGCTGCAGGTGCCGGCCTCTTCCGAGCAGCTCTGGGCACACTGGACTGCTTCGTGCCTGTCCCCAAGGAGCTAGACAGGGACCCTGGGCTGCCCCCTTGTCCCTGTGCCTTCCCCTCACTGTCCCACACCTTGTAAAAACAAAAGCTTTTTAGGAACGATGGAGCCTCCACCGTGGGCGTTCAGAGGAGCACGGGCAGCGGCAGAGGCGGTGGGGAGGAGGGGGTGGCTGCTGGGTATGTCCCCACAGGATTTTTTTTGGTTATTTCATAGGAGTGAAGTCATGCTCAATGGTATTTGTTGACAGCATAAAATACCCGTAACGTTTTATTTGTGATAATTTTACAAAAGCAGCATTTATTTGTCATCCTCATGTTAATGTATAGGAAAGCAGGACCAAATAGGAAACAAAAAACCAATTTTGAGCTTTCTGTCTTAAGGAGTCTTTGCCTTCGACCATGGTAACACAAGAAAATTAAGAAGTCTGAATGAAGAGCATGATCCACATGAGATTTGCTCCTGCACTACCCCCCCTCAGCTCCATTTAGCTTATTGGGCATTTATCAACGGGACCCTTTCTTTCATTTAGAAGAGGAATATCATGACAAAAGCAGTACCAAGTTTCTGGTACCTGTAAAAAGGTATCACTGCTTTCACATGGAGCGCCAGCACCCCCTATGGCAGGGAAAACGCCTAGGCAGGGAACTGCAGGGAAACAATCTCTATACAGTCCTGTGAAATATTCTTCTCTTCTGCAGGTTCCAGACTGCATGTTACATATGCATCCCTTATCTCAGAAACGTATGAAATAAGGAAGTTGAAAATCTTACCCGTTTCTCAGCTTTACTGATGCTTCACTTGCAGGTTTAGATTTTCTTGTGCTAACACCGAATGCATACATCTGTCGGTAAGTGTCAGGAGAAATCCAGATTTTCAATACCAAATGCTTGAAAAATAAAGGACCTGCAAAAGGAACATATTTGGCCTTTGTTACAGCTCATACCAGAGTAGAAACAATAGAAGGAATATTATATTATATATTCGATGTAGTATAAACTTTGGAAATGTTATTTTAAAGCTCTGTTCCTTTTTCTGTGTGATTTTTCAGCTTTTGGCATGGCAATTTGGCAAATATTATACGGTATTTCCCAGTGCAGGCTCTAAACTTTGCTTCGAAGGACAAATGCAAAGATTTTCATGTCTGAAGTGGATAAAGGAAAACAGGTAAATGATGTCTTCCATATTAGTTCTGTTTAATAAACAAACTAGATCCAGCCAAGAGCTATGCAATTCTTTCTCTCAGCATGGTTGGCCATTAGTGGTGGCATATTGAGAAGATTTTGTAATGAGCTTATTTTATAACAAGAGGAACAGTGAGCACAGCTTACTCTGTAGCTTATTGTTGAAGGTAATGAAATCTGGTGTTTGATCTTTAATGATTAATAACTTTGTGAAGTGCATGTAAATCACTGCTTGTAAGTTCAGTCAGAATTTTCAAAGTTTTGTTCAGCATGTAATTATTTTGGAGTTAACTAATGCAAATATTACAATGGATTTTAAAAATCTCGGGCTTGGAAACCTATGTTTCTGGGTCAATTATGTTCTCACACTTAAGACTGCATTAACCCATACTTTAGTCTCAAAACGCTTTATGTTCATAATTTCACCCACGTGAAATTACAGCTGCTTTTCTTTTAATGTGTGAGGTTCTTGGGCTGTGCCTCTCAAGCAGGAGTCTCTCATTTTAATTTTTTTCACACTATTTTCTTGATAATCATTAGCATGTAAGTGCCAGAAAGACCTTACAGACAGGGAAGTGCATATTACTGCTGTAGATAAGTAATACTTCACACTGAAAACTGATTTCTTGCTATATGTAAAGCTAGAAACATACTTATGAATAGTTAAAGCATTTTAAGACCTTAGTTTTGTACAATGCACTGGAAAAGAAACAGGTTCAGGTTACAGCTCAAGAAGGCAATTAAACATTTGGGCTATGCTGCCTTAGCTTGCAATTCTGTGTACTTGGGAAAAGTCCCTTAACTTGGATGGATTCTTGAAAGACACAGAAGTCTACACCCATGGAATTAATTATAAGAAATCTTGGCCTTGGAATGTGCAATGTTGATATTGGCATTTGACAAATTACATAAAATTAATTCATATCAGTAGAATGGAACATAAGTTCTTCATATCTAATTTGTTTCATGTGGAAATAGCTGGAAAATCTGCTTTATTTGTGTCTGCCTTAGGTTATCTGTTTTAGGATTTCTTTGGTTAGGTTTTGATAATTTAAACAAAAATCCAATGTTCTGTGCTTTCTCTTGCTGACAGTTTTTTACTGCAGTGCCAGAGACTTTCCTTGCCACAGGCTTTTCTGGTGGTGCTGATCAGGAAGAATGCTGTCAGTCATTAAAGTTTGATTAATCTCTTTGTATTGCATGCAAATTCTTAAGCAGTCCTTTTTTAATTAAAGTCATTTTGTACGTAAAGAGTTTAAGGTTGCTGTTTTCTTTCTTTTCTTAAAGTGGAAAAAGTAAAATGTGCATGATACAAATAATGCAGTGTTTATAGTTCTTCAAATCTCCTTTCCGTCTCCTAGAAGTGTTTCCAGATGGCTTACATGTGTATGAGCTTGTGACTCAAATTTTAGAAACATTCCATGAATAGCACTCGAGATTAATTTCTTCAGAAATAACAGTATTTAACAAAGCAGCATATTCATGGTTGACGCTCAGGGTCTTTGGATGCTTTCTTACATGTTTTGTGCAGGACAGGAAACGGGGAAGACAATATGGTGACATGCATTAGTTGTTGCTTAGCAGGATTCTCAACGAAACCATGATCTACTATGTTTTTCATATAATTTTGATAATGTTAAATGTTTCCGTCATGCAGAATAGTTTGTAATAAAGAGAAGGGCTTCTCTAAAGCATAACAATGTTCCTGAATTTATTTTCTATTAGGTGCTGCTGAGTAACAGTTTCATGGGCTTGGTGACTGTATTATTCAAATTGCAAAGACTGACGGACTTCCTGGCCTGTACCAGGGATTTGTTGTTTCAGAACAGGGAATCTACACTGAGCCTCCTCTTTTGGATGTTACGACACCATTAAGGTAATTTTTACAGACAAAAATGCATGTTTAAATCCTAATCATGATATTTTAAATATTTATTGTGAACTAATGAGAGTGTTAGTTACAGCTTTTGTCTTTACAGTTCTTTGTGCTCAATAGAGTATATTACTGAAGAGCAAAGTAATTTTACAGTAGGATTAACTACAGAAATAATCATTATACTTGCTCTCTGCTGCATTTGACATACATTTTACAGAATTTTTAGAGGCCTCCATTTGTGTTTTGTTTTGCAGGGATTATTTCCAAATCCAAAGCAAACTCCATTCATTCTTTGCTTTTTTGTTGCTCAAGTTGGGACTACGTTCTCAGGAATGCTGTCTTACCCTTCTGACAATGTCAGGAGAGGCATGATGATGCAGGTATGGTCTAGCTTGCAGTTCTTTTCTGAAAATGACTTAGTAGATTTTTGAAGTTTGATGTGCTAATTGAAGCAGGCAAGCCTCTATTCGGGGGAAAAAAGAAAGTGGAAACACCTTCAGAAAGACAAGAAGAAATATGAAATAATAGCATTGTGGGAGCCTGGTAAAAGTTCACATCTTGGTGAGAGATTTTAGTAGAAAAACAGAATCTTTTTTCTTTTTCCTACTCAGAAGCCAGATATTTGGAGTAAGACAGGTTTGTGGGTAGACTCACACCCTTTATTAGCCCTGCTAATGCAGGAAGAAAAATAGCCTCTGTGGTACAGAGCTGTTCTTGAGGTGTGAGGTAGAATCAGTAATCTTCAAAGCTCAGTACAAGCCGAGAATTATTTCTCAGCATGTGACAGGTATGATAGTGTATAATTAGCAATTAATGTTGGATCTTGGTGTTAGCTATTAGGTAATTTTACTAGGTAGTTTGGTAGCATTTGAAGCACACGTAATAATATAAATTCTTGCTATGAAGATCATCCACAAACACAAAATAAAAAGCCACAAAAACGCTCCTGAAAAATCAGGACCTTGCTCCCTGCGTCCCTGAGGAAGTTTTGCCAGCTGACAACAACAGAAAGGAGCTGTTAGTTCCAACGAAGCGTCTCTATGTTTTATTTCAAGAGTATCCTTTTCTCTTGGTATTCCAGAAAGTCAAAAGAAAATCAGAATAAATGTTGGCATAGAACTTGCTTGGGTGCTTTAAAAAAATCCCAGAGGATACTTAGATTCTTAGGGAATGCCTGCATACCTCAGAGAACCTGTCCTAAATAACAGAAATCCCTGGAGCTCGCAGTGGGAAAACACCATTAACGCTACTGACTTCTTCCTTTCAGACTAAATATGATTTCACTGTCTTCAGATTCTGAACGTTCCTCTGGGCTGTATCTACTCCACTGTTGACATTTTCAAACCTGCAAGCAGCTGGCATGATTTTCAGCCGTGCTGCACTGGCAAAAAGCTGATGGGAGAGTTGAGTACCTGAGCTCTGAGTTGTACAGAAATGGTAGCACACGTGCACATGAACATTTGCTGATTGTCATCCTTCGTTTCCTTCACCTGTAACCACTTGAAGCAAGTTTTAGTGAACACGCTACTGGGGTCTCTAACCAATGAGTCCTTCCTTTTGCTTTGTTTTCATTTGTCAAGCAAGTTAACACTCAGAAAGAAGGTGGGCTAGATGAAAATTGGACTGTGCTCCTTCTTAGCCTTCCTATGTCTTTACATTCTTGTGCTAGTCAAGACTTCGAACGTTTTTTAGAGGACTGTGTTGATCACTAATGAGCTGAAATCTACTTGGTATAAAAATATTCCAGTGGTACTGAGGAAAAAAAAAAAAAGAGCTGTGGAAGTTTTAATAGCATTGAAAAAATTCAGAGCACCCTTAGGACTGGAGTGACCTCATTTAATTCCTAAGCCTTCTACTTGCCCAGTAAAGCTTAAAAGAAGCATCAGAAGAAGGATCACAGCCTTTCTAAATTTAGCTATTGGAACAAGTTAACAGAGCATTACATCAGCTAAATATTTATTAGTTGAAAGATCACTTCTTCACAGTAAGTGAAACATTAGGGAAAAGTTCCTTGGTGTTCTTTACTAAAGAAAAAACAACTTTTGCAGTGCAGTGATGTTTGTGCAATGTCTCGTGTATTATTTCATGGGCAGAGAGGGGAGACTGAATGTCAATATAGAGGAGCCGTTGGCTGCTTTATGAAAATGTATGAGCAAGAGGGGCTTAATGCTTTCTTCCATGGAGCATTCTCCAACATCTGCCGTCGAAGAAGAGGAGCCTTAGTGCTAGTTCTTTATGGCAAAATTAAGGACATTTTTGATCTCAATGTTTCAGAGAGTTCAGGATCTGATTAAAATAGTGAGTGAACACCGATTTTGTTTGAACAGTGTTAATGATAGAACTCTCATTGTGTGCATAGCCTATTTTTAGGTTAACTGTTATACAAACAATACTTTTAAGAAATTATTTGGATGTTTCTGTGACTAAGTATGTACTGAATGAAATAATTCGTTTTCAGGGAATTAAAAAGTACCATTTACATTTCATTCAAGAAATGAATCCAAGAAAATACTTGCCTCTTGTTTAAAATTCCCCAAGTTCCTGTTTTATTCATACTAAATGCTGCATATCTTGACTTTTAAATTACAGCACGTTCCTGAATATATTTCAGTAAGAGCAGCTTCCCAAGCCCGTCAGCAGAGCCCAGTGTACGTTATCAGCCTGCTACAGCTTCTATGCCAACCACAGTAAAAGGAAAAGCAGCTTTCTAGCTGTTGATGTGTTTTCGTGGTATTTCAAAGCACAAGTCAAGACAACAAAGGAGTTGACACTTGTTTTTTTCCTAATTGGCATTAAGAAATACAGCAACTCACTCTACTCTCTGTCCCATCCCTCAAATAGCATTGGGAAGACAACAGTCTGGCTGGGAGTATTTTAAGCCAAAACATAGCCCAAAAACGTGGAGACCCAAGCACCTTGACACTTAGAACACTTAATACATTATTTTTTGAGGAAATTTAAAATGGGTGAGGATTCTTCTCAGTATCGAGGATAAAGCTTACAGCGTGTATAAGTGAGGAAACTCTTATTTCTGAGGTAGTAATTTTCAATAGGGAAAGGGGAAAAAAAAAACCAAGCCTTGTGGAATACTGCTAACTGAGGGATTCAAGGAAGAGGTTAGGAGGCCTTTATTTAAATGTTTGGTTTCAAAGAAATTAAGGCTAGCAGCATTGCTAACGTTTCTCCACAACCGTTAAGTTCCACACAAAACCCTCAGCTCCTTGAGCTGGTACAAACAGCACTGCAGTGATGGGCTGAGGGGTCATGGCTTCAGACTGGAAGAGGGAGATTTATGTTGGATCTCAGGAAGGAATTCTTTACTGTGAGGATGGTGAGACACAGGAACAGGTTGCCCAGAGAAGCTGTGGCTGCCCCATCCCTGGAGGTGTTCAAGGCCAGGCTGGATGGGGCCTTGAGCAACCTGCTCTGGTGGGAGGTGTCCCTGCCCATGGCAGGGGGTTGGAACTTGATGATCTTTAAGGTCCCTTCCAACCCAAACCATTCTACGATAAATATTTTCTCAGCTGCTGAAAATCAGGTGTGATCCACAGGCCAAGAACTGGAAAGAGTCGGACAACAGCAGTCCCAAGATGGCGGCAGTGCCAGCGGGCACTGGGGGGGACATGCCCGGGCATGTTTGTGTCTCCTCTGAGCTTGGGCGTGTTGTTGGTACCAGGAGAGCGGGCCAGCAGCGCCGGGCTGAACCACACACACAGGGCTTTTAGGAGGTACCTGCAGGAGTCTGGCTTATCCCGCTCACTGCCTCACCTCCGCCTCATTCCTGACAAAGCCAAAAGAAGGTCTGTTGGCAGTTTCTTGTGGGCATCAGGAACGGCTACACCCGCCTGCTGCCCGCTCCCCGCTGCCAGAAACACCGGCAGCCCAGGGATGTGGGAGGAGACACCCTGCTGCGGTGGGGGCTGTCCCCCACTGTCAGGTTGTGCAACACCTCGGGGCCCTGGCTCAGGGGTGGTGCCCGGCAGCCTCGGCGGGATGTCCCCGGCCCAGAAGGGGCGGAGCCCCGGGCGGGGCGGCGGAAGGGCGACACCCCGAGTGGCCCAGAACCGGTTCTGTGAGGGCGGCTGGAGCGGGGAGGTGCCTCCCGGCTACGGCTGGGGCAGGGACCTGCTTTCCCGTCCCGATACCCGCAAAGCAAGCGGGGCGGTTAATTGCGTGTGGTAATTAACGAACAGTGGTTGTGCGGCGCGTCGCTCCGCCCGGCAGCGGCTGCTCCGGACGCTTTGGACCGTGTCTGTCCCGGGAGGCTCCCGGCCGGTCACAACCGAGGGGCCAGCGGCGGCTGCTGGCGGGCTGCGGGAGCGCCCTGCCCCCGTCCCGGCACACGCTGCGTCAGCCTGACGTCATTTTTAGAAGCAAATAAACGAACAAACACCTACTTACGGTGCCTCTGCCGCCGGTCCCTGTCACAGCTCCCGTCCTCCGCACCCCGAGGGCCACCCCTACCCGCCGGGGCACCTGCGGGAGGGAGGCCTGGGTCTCCAGGCGCCTTGGAGGACGGAGCGCGTTAATTAGCCTAATTGCCCTGGATTGCTATAATCACATTAAACCGCGCTGTGTTGCAAACAACTTTTAAATTGTGGGGGGGGGGGGGGGGGGGGGGGTAAGCGAGGCCCGCCGCCGCTCTGACGTTAGGATAAACGTCATGACGTTCTCGATAACGCCCCCCCCCATCCCCCACCTCGTCCCGTTCCAGATCTTTCTGGAAGGCGCCGCCCGCCGCCGGCCCGGCCCGAGCCCTTCCGGATCCTTCCGGAAAGTGCCGAAGCCGGCGCCGGCGCCTGTCGCGTTGCCGGCCGGCGGGCGCAGCGCGCGTGCGCAGAGGAGAGCAGCTGCCGGTTGGTGCCGGGCGCTCCGCAGTGGGGGGGGGAGAGCAGAGAAGAGAGAGAGACGGGCGAGGAGCCGGGTGCGAGCAGTAGCCCCAGACGGTCGCCGCTGTAAGTCTCGAGGCCGGCGGGGGGAGCAGCAGCCATGTCGGTGGTCGGCATTGACCTGGGCTTCCTCAACTGCTACATCGGCGTGGCGCGGAGCGGCGGCATCGAGACCATCGCCAACGAGTACAGCGACCGCTGCACCCCGTGAGTACTGGCCCGGGGGGCACCCCCTCCCCACGGGCGCTTTACCCCTCAGCCCGGTTACCCCTTCCCTTCTCCCCCGCAGCCGGCTCTCCGGGGCGGGCAGCTCCCCGTCGGGCCTGTTCCGAGAGCCCGGCTGCTCCTCCGGCTCCCTCAGCGGCGCGGCGGGCGGCTCTGCCGGCCGGGGCCGGGCCCGGCGGTCGGTCTCTCGCCGGGCCCCAAGGCTGGAGGGGTTCGAAGCGGGAGCCGAGAGGCGCCCGTTGGGGCGAGGAGCGCCGGGCGCCCCCCCCCGCAGCCTTCCACTCTCGGTGTCCTTGAAGAACCGCGCCGTGCGGGTGTTCCACCCACGGCCTCGGCGGGGCTTTTTCTCTCCCCGAACCGCTTGGGTTTGATGCAGCAAGGCTCCCGGCTAATCATCTATTTCCCCAGCTCCGGGAGGGTTGGCAGGGCGGGAAGCGTTCTCGGTAACGATATTAGGAGGAGAAGGTGGTGGGTTCCCCAGGGAGGCCGGGAAGAGGCGGGATGAGCTCCCTCTCCCCAGACCCCTTCTTGTTCTGCCGGCCGCCGAATAGGGCGGGGGGGGGGGGGGGGGGGGGGGCAGCGGCCGTGATGATGGGATACGCAGGAGGAGGTGGAGATTTTCCTCTTCTGTTTCTATGGGATACGTCTAGGGCTTCTGGAGCTCCATCTGTGCGTGATTTTCAAGGAGGGTTCAGGAATTCGTATAGTACTCGTAAAAAATCGAGGTTTGAATGCGGCTTCCTTTCATAAAAGGAATTTGTAGCCAGCAGCAGAAAGCTGTCTCTGCCGTGTGAGGCTGTAGTAACTCCAGCATTGCTCTCTTTGATCTCGGGGAAATGTAAGGTTTTGCTTTCTGAAAAGTTTTCTTTACAAATAAGTTGAGTGCTACAATCCATACTGTTGGTATTAATGGGAACGTTCTTGAAAATTTTTGTTACTACTTAAATATACTTCTCACGTTAAGTCCCAAGAAGGCATTGTCCTCGCACATGTTTTATGAGACCTGGAATTCTGGGACCTCTCAAATTCTGTGCAAGGAACCCTCTGAAATTGTTGCCCAAAGAATTCTCAGGCAGCTGCAGTTTCTTTCCCCCTTACAATTAAGAACACTTCCAGTTCTTAACTACTCTTGGAGTGCATTCCTGTCAGGCAGGCTTCACATAGGTTTCCCTGAGTTTAATATTTTTCATGTTAACATAAGAGTAATTGTACTTTTGAGACATTTGCAAAGTGATTATGAAAGGGGTTAAAGCACAGTTAGCAAGAGAGCATCTGGAGTGCAGAGATACTTAAATTTAGGCAGTGGTAATCTCACTTAAAGTGACATTTTCTCTAGCTTTTTTCCTTATCTTTCTCTGAAATGTAATACAGAAGAACATTAGGAGCTTCCTTTGTAATACTATTGTTTTGAGGCAGACCAGAAAAGTCAATAGAAATATAACAGCCTTATTACTGTTATGGAAGTTTATCATAGTAACTAAACCTGACTTCAAACAGGGTTTGAGTGATGTAGGCAGATCTAACTCTTAAATCATCAAAACTTTTCTGCTTATTAAAGGTAGCAACACAGTAAATGAACTCTTTATTTATGTGTTGTTATAGAGGCACTTAAGTCATTTAGATACTTGAAGTTAGCTAATAGTTAACGATTGGCTATGTCCCAAATAATTGAAATATAAAGTTTTGATGTTTGTTATGTCTATGTAGTGTGGTATAAAAACATCTGAGCTAGCTCTGGACAAGCTGGTACGTTTTCACGCTCAGTGTGTTGTTATTAAGCCATGTGAAGATACTGGGTTAGGTCCTAAAGATAGGACAGTCCTGGCTGTGCTCTACGGGGCTAATTGCTCTTTCTGGGCAGGGCTAATTAGCGCAGCCAGCTTCCAGTGTTGGAGCTGGTTCAGGTGCAATACTGCTGTGAACAGTACAGCCTTAGTGCAAGCACACTCGAGTGTTGCAGACAAAAGCAGTGTACACTTAAGGAAGATATAGATTATCACAATTTCATACAGTCATAAATCCACTGTCCCAGTTGTTAAGACATTCAGGTGATTCTTAATCAATATTGTCTGCTTAAAACCTATGGCCTACAATCCAAGGCATGGGATTGTTAGTGTTTGTAAAATGTGTATCATTTTTGAAGCTTTAGCACAGGTATTTTAGAAAGAAGGGAGAAGTAT